TTGCGCCTCTAATTTAATATATTCCCACGAGCGGATCGTGCGGCGCGGAGAATCGAGAGCGCGAGGCAGCCGGCGAAGTTGCGGAGGTGTTTCGAAAACACGTTACGCGTCGCGTAATCGTTTGCTCTCGCACGGGCTCTCCCGAGAGCGAGATGCAGCCTCGCACATCGTGCCGGTTGCACATGAGCAGTTGCTCAATGAGCCGCGTTGGTATGTAACGCCGGTCACCGACTCTCCACGTTCGGCCAACGTCGTTCCGATCTATCGACCGAACGCCACGCTCTTATGAAATTCAAATTTCCCGCCGCTCGGTAACGAGGATAAACGACCACCTTATTCTACCTCGACTCGCAATTATCCACCCTTCGATAGTCCAAGTTTCCATTAACGTTTCTTACAACGAGTGAAATGGGGGAAACGGCCCCGCGTTATTATGAATTATTGATGCACGCGATGTAAATTCTCGAAACTTTCTCGAACGAGCAGAGTATAAAGAGTAAGTAGGATGATGCTTGATATTAGTAAGAGTTTGATATTTATGTACATTATTGACACACACACACACATATATATAGCATAAATTTTGATTTTCAAATTGCACGTTAAATTAAATGGTAACTCGACATAGAATCCTCCCCAGTTTTCCTTCATCCAATCAATGAGTATGTTATTATAAAAATAACATGGATTTTTTACATAATAGATTACGTAGTGATTTGTATCCATTTTTAAAACAAATAAAAATAACAAATAACGAAACTATAGAACTATAAAGCTCGAGAACAGATATAAATAAAATCTAAGTAATAACTTCTTCCTATTGTTCCTCTTCGTCTAAACTAACAAGTGAGAATTACAAACAAACAATATGCTATATATAATAAATTACGTAGTAACTTGCACCCACTTCCAAGACAAATAAGAAATAATAAATAATGAAACTCAAGCACGGATATAAAAAAATCCATAAATCCTGATCTAACCAATGAGTAAGGATCACGAAAGCGAAACGTGAATGAATGAAATGAAGATCTTCGCGAGATCGATCACCCTTCAGCGTTATCCCACGAAATATATATTTCTATAAACGACATCCGGGCATCCGGTCCAAGTCCATGCATCCGTCTGTCTGTACGTCCGTCAGCGTACCTCGCCTCGTTTCCAACTTTGGATGTAGGCTACACTTTCCCGGCTCGATCGTTCCAGTCAACCTACCTCGGCCAGGCAGGCCTACGCTTCCATTTGCTTGCGAAACAGGGACGAGACCCAGTTACCCACATTCTGCGCCAGATATTGGCCGGTAATTAAATAGCCGCCGATTTTCCGCCAACCTTTCGCCTTATAGTTCGCTATCGTCGTAGTTGCCGTCAAATATCATTATATTATTGTGCATTCCGCTCTCGGTCACGTCGATATCGCCGCTTGTCGTTTATAGAAATATATATTACAGCAAAGGGACGAAAGATCGAACAGCTGATTGAATTCGAAGATAATTGTCGCCGCGATTTTCACAGCATCTTTTAGCCGCGACGCGATTTTCGGGGCGAGAATTCGATTGGAATTTGCGAATTATTACGGCAGCGTTTCAGTGGAAATTAAAGATCTTTAAAATAATATTAATTGTAGGAATAGTATGTGGTGTTCGGTGATAGCAATCTTTGGAATAGAGAAATTATCTGACATTGGATTTGGAACGATAGGGAGAACGTTAAAAATAAGAAGTTTTTTAAACAGAAAATACTAGAATAAAAATATTTGGAATATATAGATATATGTATTTTATAATATAAGAGATTAGCACAATGGTATTCCGAGTATAAGAATTCTAACAAATTTCGAGTAGGCAGAAAATATAGCAATATTTGAAATAGGAATGTTTGTAAAATACGAATACCAAAAGTAAACCTTCTTTTGTCCAAAGTTAAACCTCCCTTATTCCGGCAACTCTTCGAACATCTTAATATTAGAATGATATTGGAATGATTCTTAGAAAACTGGAAAATAATCTAGGTTCGATTCTTCCGAGTAAATAAAAAAAAAAAAAAAAAAAAATACGAGTAAATTAAAAGTGAAACAATACGAAAAAATACGAGATTTCTTCTAATTTTCATCGATTCTCAATCTTTTTTAAATTACAATTAACTTCACTCTATTTTCTTGATCTCACTTTCTCTTCAACTTCTTCTTTCCACGTTCACCGTTTCCCAATCATAATTTCCCTCACGCTATTCAGCACCCCGCGGATAATCATCGAGGTGAAATTCATCAAAGGATGGTGTTCCTAAACTTCGAAAATCTTTGTATAACTATATAAATTTTATTTGTATAAACTTTGTTCGTTAATCGATTTGACCGTCGTTTCGAGTTGGTGTTTTATAATGAACAACTTAGAATGTTTAGGTGCACGAATCCGACGAAGAAAGGCGAAATTAAAAAAAAAGAAAGAAAGGGGAAAAAAATTGCCGTGAGGTGCACGCGTGTGACCAAACGTTATGCCGATCATGTAATCGCCATCCACTTTCTAATGTTTCGCGTAATTACGTAATATCGTGTGTACATGAGATTAACTTTATTATCGACTTTTCTTACTTTCCGTTTCACCTGGTTACTGTGAAATTACGCTGTATGGTAATTTGTTAGTTTCCCCAAATGTTCATTACTTTCTCCAATGTTATTAGGTTGACCAACTGCATTTTTCTTTTTTTTTATGTAAATGAAAGGTGAATTTTTGAAAGAAACAAAAACTTTATTAATCAATCGATCATTTTTGTTCGATCATCGTTCACCATCCTTCGAAGAATTTTATGGTTCCGCGTTTGAAAAAGTTATGATCTCTTGTTGACAACAAAGAGTTGCAAGAATAAATCTGATAAAGTGGTAAAATTTAGCAAACCAATTTTTCCTCATCACTGTACACGTCAGATAATTATTTACAAACTTGCACAGTGGTTTCATTTATTTTTTTTCCTTCTTCGGAGATAGTACAACAAAATATAGCTTTGAAATCGATGCAAAACAACATCGTGCATTTTCTTTTTTTGAAACAGGGTTGAAGTTATATTTTAAGATATACATACATATCCATCTATTAGAAAAAACTTTCTAACCAATCCAATAAACACACACACACACACACACATATACAGAATCTCATTTATACGAACCAAATCTATTTATTTCAACTGAATTTTAGTCAATAGAATTAAATAAGTTCTATTGATTGAATGCACTTTATTTATTAAATCCAAAACAAACAAATTATTAGTAAAGCGAAGAATCAGAAAACTCCTATTATATGAATTATTTATACCCCAACAACAAGTTCAGATATTTACAAATTGATTATTGATTACGATAACGATTTTGGTTTGTAGATAAATAACTCTGAATAAAGATAAATTTCTTTAGTTTTTCTAGTTTCTAATTCGTACATCCGATGAGTTAAAATCTTAGATAAATTTCTGAAAAGTCTGATTCCACATCTGTCGAATTCTGTTTAGTTATTCTTTGATGAATTTCGATAACCATCTGCGGTAGATAGAATATAGATAGATAGAATATAGATAGATAGAATCGTTGCTCTGTATGACTATTATAAGAATCTGCACTGTCTATTTTGATTGGAAATTTGATCTTAGTTCTCAGATTGATTGTTCTATATCGAATCTAAACTGGTCTCAGAATTCTCGATCTCGTATCTATCTCATAGTGACTATCACAGTATCTTCTATTCCACTCGAAACAATGCATTTATTAAGAATCGTAATAAATTTCAGACTTCAGACTTGAAAATTATATTCTACGAGAAATGCTGTCGATTTTATTTTACGAAAAATGTCACAATGAAATCGCGTGGTGATTTTATATTTATATGCTGTATTACATTATATTATAATATTATTTATTACATATATTTATTATACTTATATATTATATATATAATAATAAGTAATAAATAATATATAAATTATATTATATTATATTATGTGTATATTATAAGCCAGATTTTCTTACAAAATCTTACATACATTCACGAAATATAAATATATATATATATATATATATATATATAATATTTTTGTGAGAAGGAGGATTCTGTGAGAAAAATTCTGGCTTTTGCCAAGACTATTGTTCGTAATTGTATGCAAACCGTAATCGATGTCGTTGATATATATCCACTCGTTAATAGTAATGTATCGTGACGACTCAGCAACCTTTACTTTACGTAGCCGTTTACGTAGAATACCGGTTAATTAGCGGCGTACGAAGCTGTTTCACGATTATCTCGTGGACCACCACAGTCGTGGGAAGATTGCCAAGTATCAGAGATCTATTGAACGTTGGGAGCAAATTGATTCTTCGTGCCAGACGCTCTTAATAATGTTGAGCATAGAGAGAATGCGGCTCGATTCTTATTACTCTTTCCTTTCGGTACGTGTAATCGGTGAACTCGTTGAAAAGGTTGGCAACGTTTACAAGCATTTACATAGTAGATTGTTACTTCGTTCATGCGATTACTCATTCGACTTTATACGTGCGTTGTTAATGTAAAATTTGATTCATGATATAGAAACTTTAAAATTTCGAATGTCTCTCAACTGTGCGAATTGGACTTGCAATGAAAGAATTCACATAATTTTAAGCGCGACTTAGTTATCTATTAAGAACTTATGAGTACAGACTCATTTTAAAAATTATTAAATTTCTTTTTATTAAACAAATGACGCAATATCTTTCTATGTGCATTCTTTCGTAGTTTATCGACACGTATGACTAATATAAATTAAACTTTTTGTAACACATTTTGTGTTATTAAAAAAAAATATAGTAATATTTGGCGGATCAAAATGATGGCATATTTCGTGAAAAACAATATATAGGATAGAAACAAAAGAAACGAGTTTGATCTCTTTTATGTTTAATAACGGAAGCCATTCTTTGGGGCAAAGATTTGTATTTTAATGATTTTTTTTTAATTTTTCCCACTGCCCTACATTTCTTTAATTCATTAATTTTTGTGAATTATCTTCTATTCTGGCACCCTCGCCAAATTCCTCCAACAATTTCCTATAATATTTAAGTCCAATGACTTGGCTGGCTATTCTAAAATTTTTTCGTATTTGCAAAGTATCGTTTGCGGTGTGCATTATCAGATTGAAAAATATACTTATTTCCGGCAATTCATATCGCATTAATTTGTTCGTCAATTATTTCAATATACATTTTACTACTTAATTTTTCTGTAATAAATTTTACTTCCAACTTACCGTAATTAACACCTTTCCAAATCATTATACCGCCGCATCCCATGGGTCGACGACTCAGAAGTTGTTGCTCCTTTCGTAGATCATGATAATAGTAATGGAGGCCATCAGGTCCGTCTAAATTGAAGCTCTTCTGAAGGTAAATATGATTCTGGATCTTCATCATTTCTTATTCATACAAATATATTTCTCCGCGAATGGCTTAGGATCTTGTTTTTTGTTGCAAATTTTCGTCGTTCACAATTTTTTAAAAGACATTGAACATCCCTAGCATTTCGTAACTTTAGCTTCTTCTGCATTTTGTCAAGTCAAGCTTGAATTTAGCACGTTCATTCCGAGCTGTTAGACATTGCAGTCGTCCATAATTTTTTCCTTCTCCATAATTATCAGGATCTTTTGGTAAATTTACCTATCACTACGACTTCCGATAACTGTTTCGACTACTTTTGTCAGAGTAATAATGTTCTTCGATATTTCGATATCGTTTGTATTTCAATTTGGATTTCACTTTACATCCATCTCTACAAATGTTAATACGCACTTAACCGACTGTATTTCGCACGAATGTTACACTTTCGATAGCTTCTGTACAACTGAGGAGCGTATACATTAGAGTGTATGTATTGTTCAAACTCGCCTCGAGGCCACGGACATACATTATTTACATTTTCGTTTTTGTATTTCTGAGATATTGTGTGCCTCGGTGATAACATTCGACATAATACACGTGGCTAATCCAAGGATATTGACGATGTGATAATCCACGCATCTTCTCTACTTTGAAATATTACATTTTCGTTTCTGTATTTCTGAGAAATTGCGTTTGTCGATAATAACGCTCGACATGACACACGTGGGAGGATAATCCATGGCCAAGGATATCGATGATCCGTTTTACGCGTTTTCTCGCTATCTTTTGTATCTTACAATTTCTACACATATTTTTAAGTCTGTTTCATATCTGTTTCATAGTTGATCGATACAATCGCAACAGTTGAGTGACACTTACGACGTTAATGAAATTTCAGAACATTTGATATAACGTCTATAAAAAATTCCTACAAGCGTTCGAACACTTTTACGAGCAACTGTAAATCATAAATAGAAAGGAAATTTCCATTATGTAAGAGAAAAATAATTCATCGTCATATCACAACTACTTCTTTCTTCGCGCACTTCATGAAATTGCAAAATCTAAATAGAAGAATAAACTACGGTATCTGACTGTATTTATATAAATTAATTGTTGACGCTAATCGATTGGCCTTT